TTTTACTATTGAATTACATTGAGACAAACACAGTTTGATGTGCATTTATACGTGGTATTTTCTTTAATGCCATCTGATCATTTCAACTGTAATAAATAAAGACGGCCACAACAGTGAGAGAGGGACGGGGCTTCTCACAGTGTCTGGCAGCACGGTGTCAGTCAGAGCCTCAACCGTCCAATCAAGGAGCAGCAGCAATTCCATCATCCAATCAGCATACAAACAAATCAAAGCATAGTAAACAGCCATTGATTCTCTTCTACTGGATGAAAAGAAAGCAGAATCAGGTCTATAAGGAACTACATGCAAAATCCAGGCTGTAGTTTTACTCACTTTTGTATTAATCTTAACTGCGTTACCTCTACGAACATCATGTCTTTACGATCTGTGAAGCTCTGCTTGTTACACAATGCCCATCAATTACAGCATTCAAATGCAACCTGATCTTTCTGAGGGCTTCTTCGAAATTCTAAACGGAACGTGCTAGAAGGTCCTCCAGAGTACTTCATGATGTGCTCCTAATAAAAGTCAAACATCGCTAAATATCCGCTAATTTCTATGGTCACATACAAACAAACATACACTCATATACAAACCACACTTAGTGTCTTGGCCATACAGCCCATAATAGTCTTCATGTGGAGGATTATGAGAAAACAAAAAGAGTCAGGACATCATTGTCAGGCCACAGCCTCTTCTCAGTCACACAGCCGGAGCATCTCGCGGCTCGTTTGCCGGGATTCCACATACACGCGTCAAGTCCTCCCAAACACAAGGGGACGCTACACAGCAAGCGTGTCCGGGATCCAGCGGGCGGGAGGAAAATGAAGGGGGACGGATTCTTCGCAGGAGGTCACCAACGGCATCAAACTTCACAGATGACGACTGGAAAATCGACGTGGATACAAGGGTGATCCAACTTGATGATTCCCTATAGAAAAAAATTTGTAATAAAACATTAGAATGACAAGCTGCGATAACGATAATTCAATGTAATTCAAACAAACGTTCGCAAAACACTCCCGTGCTGATTTACCTGAGGTATGAGATTCTTGTGGATTCGTTTTAGTTTGGATTTCTTGCGGCCATTTTTCGTTACTACTGTTTCTTCGTAAAACTCGTGGGCCAGGTCGCCATCCTCATCGAAGTACAAAGAGCTTAAAAACATGAATACAAGTTTAAACATACATATGCAAAGTATAATACATTTTACAAAGGCCTGTTCACACCAAGAATGATAACTACATTAGCGTTCACACCAACGCACAATAACATGTGTTTTTGTCATCTGCCGCTTTAAATGGTTGAGTTCGTAAAAGCAGGATTGCTTCTGATTGGCTGTCAATGATTATGTCGTTCATCAGCAGGGGAAAAAAACTCATTCTGAAAGTGATTCCAACAATTTCGTTCCTCTGTGTCATTATTGTTATAACTATGGTGCCTCGGAGATGTAGAATATTAAAACTTTATAGGTATAGTTATTGCTCTTGGTCTGAAAAGCCTTAAAGGTAGGGTATGTGATTTTTCAAAAACACTTTAGAAAACTGATTCGGGCCGAATCGCAAAACAAACTTGTAGTCAATCAGCAATAATGGGCGTGTCTACTCGTGATGTGGAGGAGAGAGCGTTCAGTGCATGGGACGGATATTAGCCGAGCCGAGCGACAGAAAGATAGAGATGGCGGATAAAAAACTAAAGAGGAAAACGTCTGCGGAAGGATAAGGCAAGAAGTAGGACCCGTGTAAATATCGGATCAGCTTTCCAGCGCTGGAGAGAACTCAAGGAGCGGAGGCCTGCGATCGGATGCCGAGGTTGCTTTGTTTCTTCTCGATAGGTGAGTAACACCGTGTCTACAACAGCTAAAGTCTGCCTACACTGGCCGCGATCAAACGACCGTTGAAAACCATTTGAAATGTGTGTCAGCACGTCATAAATAGAACCCGGCAGCAGTTTTCTGTCGGGATTTGTTACGCCACGCTGCTCACGTCCGTAGACGCGGTGTAACATTGGTTTTGCTTTGTTTCACAGAACTAATCGTTGCCTGGGTTGCGTACGTATATGTGGGGCGGAGCTATCAAAATAGGGGCAAGACCCTTTTGGGGTAGGGGCGTGTTTGTTTTGGTGATTTCAAATATCAACATTGGCTACCAGAAATCACTTACTCTGCCTTTAATGGGATTTTTTTTCCAAACATTTTTCAATGTAAACATGCACTAGATGGATGTGTTTTGTATTGCAACATGTGACAACAATTATTTAATATAGACTTTTATGGAATTATTTATATTGAAACATTTAATTTGTAGAATTTTTTTGCATATATATAATAATAAGGTCACTTCATTTTTAAAGAAAATATATAATATAAGTTTAAGATTTGGAGACAAATATTCTATTTTCCCATATAAACAGTACCAACAATGGCATTACAACATTGTGTATTCTACAGAAAAATGTATTCATAATTTGTATTTTTTATTTTTTTATTGGTTATGCATATCAGTTGCCAGACACTTAAACATAAATCAGTTGACCTCTAATGAAAAATCTGTATTTTCTTAATTACATTTTAAAGATCTACTATTAAATAAATAAATAAAAGGGTTTTAAGTTTTTGTAGTAGTTGCGTATGAGTCCCTCAGTTGTCCTCAGTGTAAAAAAAAAGGATCTCAAAATCATACAGTCATTGTTGCAAAGGGTTCAAATATGCAAAAGATGCTGGAAAACCAAAGAATTTGTGGGACCTGTAGGATTTTTCTGAAGAACAGCAGGCAGTTTAACTGCTCAGGACAAACAAGAGACTTCAAATTCAATTACTATTTTCTCTTGTGGGCTATATGTTAACATCTTTTATGTGAAATATCTTATTCAGGTCAGTACTAAATAAAAAACATCATACGCATTTTTTATGAACCCTCTTATCTTGGTAAAATAATTAACATTTTGCAGATACTACAAATTTTATATTGTACATAGAGAATTTTTGTATTTATTTAGTAAATAGTCATGAAATAAGTGGAGTAATGTATAGTCAGCCCGTCGTTATTGCAAAATAAAACCTGATCACTCTGTCAAGCTTGATTTTGCAATAATGTATCCTAGTTAGTGTACTTTATCCTTTACTTAACACTAAAGGTTCAGTTACCTCAATGACTGTGAAAACGCTACTTTCAAACTCAAGAATGTGTGTTTTTCAGATGATCAGAATCAGAATGAGCTTTATTGCCAGGTATGTTTACACATACGAGGAATTTGTTTTCGTGACAGAAGCTTCCACAGTGTAACAGAATGACAGTGACAGAACAAAAACTAAAAAATAGAAAATAAATAAGGAATAAAAATATATAAATTGACAATTGTATGTGCAGGTATATTACAATAGACAGTTTTGTATGAACAGGTATATTATGTGCAAATTTGAGGTGTAGACTATGAGTGTAGACTTTAGACTTTAGTCTACACTAGTGTAGACTAAATGATCTGTTTCTTGTTGCCAGTGTATCTGGCACGGCGGTCCAGTCATGCTGTCTGAAATCAAGTCACACGCCAGGAGCTGTGGTTATATTTACCTCCTCCTGGTAAACACGAAAGGCGTGGCGTTTCGGATGCTCCGCACCCGGGCCAGGCTCTGCTCTTGGCCGTCTTTAGCAGGCTCATCTCCACCACCTGAACCTGAGAACGGCCAGTAGCCTTTACCTTTAGACCCGCTGCCGCCCATCATAGGCTGCAGAGCATTCTCCTCCTGCTCGGGTCACACTCGGGACGCCCGTACAGCTCTGCAGGAAGACACAATAAACGGTTATTGAACTCATACTGTTAAATATTGACATATTTGATGTCATGAATCTGATAATGTCAGTCATGATGAAATATGGCTACTTTTTATGACATGGGAAACCTGTGAGCTTTGCTTTCCCACACAAAGCTTTTATTAAAGGAAATTCATTCTAAATTGTCATAATTTCTTAATAATGTGACATTTTACATAATATTTTATGTAACAGAAATTTTCACCTCAGCATTAGTATAGCATTGTAAAACATGACAGATTGTGTTTGACAGCCAAATAACTTGGCAAAAACAAGATTTAAATGTCTTAGACTTAATTAATAAAACAAAAGTGCATATAAGTATTATATAATATTTAATTTTCTGGTAGTCTAAATTGATGTAGCTTTCATGCTAATACGGCTAACATCATATTGTCCTACAACGTTTGAGTTTATAACATAACATTATTCACATGTATAACGATGACACTTACTTGAATGTAGTCTCCTGATGTTAAATGAAGCAGGGAAGTGGAAATAATGCGAATTAACGCCGGTTTGAACAGATTTATTGAGTGTGTAAAGTCACTCACAAACGAACCGCTGCAGCAGATCAGAGTGAATCCAGACACGCTCAGCCGCTCCGGCTGAAACCGGAAACTACATGTAGCGCACGTCGGTGAGGAGAATGGACAGAATAAAAGTTCAGGATTTTATAGAATACAAGTCTTTTTTTTTTTCTTAATCAAATTTATTATGACATTTCATTTTATTGTCGCTTGATTTTTATTTTTAAAAAGCCATTATATAATCAAAACGAAAGATTTTGAGACTTATTTTTACATAAGATAAGCACCCAACAATGGAATCACAACGCTATGTATCGAACACAGAAATGTATCGCGTATACTGTGCACATACATTACTGATTTGATTTTTTTTAAAAGTCAAAACTTATTTTAAAAATGGTTGGGCATATCAGTTATCAAACAATTAAACATGATTGCTTTCTTAATCACATGCTGGCACTGTGAAGTATTCAACAGCAGAACTTTTCTCAAACAGAAAATGTCTCGAAAACTAAATTATTTCCCTTTGCATTTATGTAACAGAAGTGCTGCTTTCAGTGCTTAAAGTTTCATCATTATTATTAAATGTAATTAATTACATTTATGTTTTTAACTTAATGGTTTAATTGAATGGCTCCTGCACACAACATAAACAGTCATTTCAAAGGGGAAATATTGTATTTAATTTCATTTCATTTACAGTGAATATCCAATATATACATGGGTGCTTCAATATCTGACAAGTATTGTATCACTAAATGGTGTTATTTAAAAGAATCTTTTTTTCCCTATTACATGTATAAATGATGCTAAAATACTCTATAATCTGCTTTGATGTATTTCATTCACCACAGACCAACAATCTGTGGCTCACACTGGAATGATGTCACTCCACATCTGGATCTACAGCTACGACTGCAGCATTTCTTCCAGTCAGTTAATGTCACACTCCTCTCACGCTCACCAGTCACGCTTAAACACACACTACTCCTGTCTCTCACTCTCATTTCCCTTTCACTTCTGACCCGTCTCATGTCCAGAGCAGGACAAAGGGTTCTTCCACACACTCTTTAGACTCAAACAGTATTTTTCCTTCTTGTTTTCACTGTTTCTGAGGTATAAGAAGCAGCTTGTTTCAGCCCGGCGTGCTGAAGTTCTTCAGAGCTTCTTTCATCTTGTCTCTGGCCAGAGTGTAGCGCCGCACGATCTGCCGCACGTGATCCTCCTCCTCCCGCTTCAGGATGCGCAGGAAGTTCTGGAGTTCAGGAAAACTGAACGCATCCCACTGCCAGAAGAAACAACAACATCTTGTTCATCCCTCAAATGTGCGTATATGCCTTTAAAAAATATTGTGCATATTTAAATTGGTATTTTTTCAGAGGACTTCCAGTCAGAAGGTTATTTACTCACATTAACTTCCCCCGTTTCATTCTCTTTAAGGACTAAACTGAGGACTTGCTCGTTGGGTCCAGCACACAGGCGCAGGAAAAGCGGATGTTCGCCATCTGCTAACTTCCTTAAGTACACTAAAAAGAGAAAGAAAACATGAAATGTATTATTTGTTAACGATGTATTTATTGTTTCCTGTAAGAATCAATGTAGAGAAGATGTCAGAATAACTAGGAGTGGTCTCCACACCTTGATTCTGTCGTTCACTGCGTTCAAACAGTGAGAACTTGGCCGGATTGTCCACCACAGTGAATTTCTTCAGCAGGGCTTCGATGACCTCTCTGGCCCGCGTGCTGGAGCTGATGTGCAGGTGTTTGACCGTGTCTCTGGGCAGGTAGAATGAGGTGTGGTGCTTCAGTGCTTTGTCTTCCTGACAATCGCCATCCCGTCCCGAGGAGGAGGACGTGCTCCGTGGAGGAGGGAGAGACACGGGCCGGGCCAGCTTGAACTGGACCTTTATGAAGCCAGTGTACGATCCATCACGGTTCTGATGGGGAGGACCAGAAACATTTTTAGTTACACTCTGAAGCTTAGCACTTACAGTAAATACCACAAATATGCTGCATATAAGTGAAACTACTATAATACTATGTACATTATATTATATTTATACATTATTATATGTATTACGATACAAACACCGCAAATAAATATATACATATACATACATAATAATATAATGTATAATGTATTATTAATATAATTATACTCCAGGCATCACTTATATAGATTTATAATAACATTATGTATATTATAATATATGTATAATTTTGTTTTATTAAATTGCTAAAAGTAATAAATACATATTTTTATGAATTTATATATAAATATACTATGCTATATATGTTTAGAAATTTTGTTATTGTATGAACAAAGAGATTATATAATAAATTATATATATATATATATATATATGTAAATTATGTATTACTATTTTTTAAATAAATTATGTATTTTATATATGAGAAATAGTATTCTATATTATTATATTATATAATTATTTTATATTTAAATAAAAAAATTAAATTATTTGGTAGAACAAACTGTATATGTATACATAAAGGATATATATATATATATATATATATATATATATATATATATATATATATATATATATGTGAGATATATATATGAATTTATATATAAATATACTATGCTATATATGTTTAGAAATTTTGTTATTGTATGAACAAAGAGATTATATAATAAATTATATATATATATATATATATATGTAAATTATGTATTACTATTTTTTAAATAAATTATGTATTTTATATATGAGAAATAGTATTCTATATTATTATATTATATAATTATTTTATATTTAAATAAAAAAATTAAATTATTTGGTAGAACAAACTGTATATGTATACATAAAGGATATATATATATATATATGGTAATATATGACATTACTATATATAATTATAATTTATTATTATTATATTATAATTTTATAAACAAATTTTTTCTTTATAAGTGTTTTTATTATATTAACTAATAGATTATATAATAAATTCAAGATTTTATATAATTTCTAGATTACTAAAATTACAAAAAATGATTAGTCAGATTTTATTTGTTAGAATATATAAATATCATTTTGATAATATTTCACATTTTTAAATTAACAAACGGCAAAAAAAAACAGTATGATATTTTGTAACACTTTATTTTAAGGTGTCGTTGTTACACGTTTCATGTACTTCCTATTACAATAACAATAATTTTGCATAATTACATGCAAGTAACCCTAAAGCACCGTTCACACCAGCGAACAATAACGTCCGTTTATTCTAAGCGCACACCTGTCTGTCGCTTTAAATTCTCGAGCTTGTGACAGCAGGATGGATTCTGATTGGCTGTCAATGTTTGTATCATTCATCCGCTGGAAAAAATTGCTCTGGAAGTGATTTCAATGATCTCTGTGCCTTTATCGTTATAGCTGTGGTGTGGACTCTGCTATTCTTTAACATTGAGAATGATTTTTAGAACTATATCTTTATAGTTTTCTTTAGAGTTATCGTGCTCGGTGTGAACGGGCCTTAAGCCGAACCCTTATCCTAACCATAACCATATAGGAAGTACATGTAGTTAATTAATATCACTCAGTACTTAAATGTATTATTACACTGGAACAAGGACACCTTCAAATAAAGTGTAACCTATATTTACATATTTAACACTGAAAGGTTTCTTTACCAGAACCATGAAGAGGTTACTGTTGACCTGAGCATTGTATTCTTTCACTTTCTGTTGTATTTCACTGAGGGACAGCTCCTGTTTCCTGCAGTCCACTGGCTCATCCTGCGGGACAAGAAGACAGTGTGATGCGTCACATGACCACAAGAGGGCGGCAAAGAAACCTCAAGAGACAGTGGCTGATGTATTCCTCAAGATATGACATTTACATTTAGACATTTAGCAGACACTTTTATCCAAAGCCACTTACAAATGAGGACAATGGAAGCAAGCAAAATCAACAAAAGAGCAATGATATGCAAGTGCTATAACAAGTCTGTTAGCTAAATGCAGTACACATAGCAAGTTTTTTTTTTATTATATAATAAATAAAAAGAAAACAGATAGAATAGAAAAAGAATAGAGCAAGCTAGTGTTAGAGGCCTTTTTTGCTTTTGTTAATTGTATAAGAAATAAAAACAAAACAGATAGAATACAAAAAGATTAAGTAAGTGTTCGTTTTTTTTTTTAAAAGAAAACAAGCAGTAAGTGAATAGAGTGCAAGTGTAAAAGGGACACGTTTTTTTATAGAATTAGAATAGAGAGTTCTAGAGTGAGAGGGTCAAATAAAGGTGGAACAGATGTGTTTTTAGTCAATTCTTGAAGATGGGTAAGGACTCAGCTGCTTGGATTGATTTGGGCAGGTCATTCCACCAGGAGGGAACAGTTAATGAAAAAGTCAGTGAAAGTGATTTTGTGCCTCTTTTAGTTGGCACAAGAATACGCTGTTCACTTGCAGAACGCAAGCTTCTAGAGGGCACATAACTCGGAAGTAATGAATTTAGGTAAAGGGGTGCAGAGAAGATGTGAAAACTTGATCAATTGTCCTAAACACTGATATTTATGGGTTTTTCTGAGATACAAACCAATAAGGATCAGACTTAGAAGAACTCTGACAAAATCAGTCCGACTTTTATGCAACTTTATTTAACAAGAATAGAGCAGAACAATCGCAGTCTGACTCTGAGGCATAAAGTGGGTTTGAAATAGTCTTTCAGATCCAGCTGGATGCCTTTACCCACACTCACAGAGAAAACAACCCTCCCTCAGCCAGAAATAGCAGACAGGAAGTGGAAACACACACACACATTGTTCCACACTCACTCACATTCATGTCGACTCTAAATGCTTTCAGATTTCAGTCAGTCCATTACCTCTGAAACTTCACACGTATAAAATCTTCCTAAATTTGTGCGGGAAAAAATTATTCCTACATTTGAGAGCCAGCTATTTTGTTTTAAGTGGTTTTATTTATCATATATTAAGTATTTATTATATTTAATAACTATTAAATTAACAAGTTACTATTTAAATATTGTAAAAATCAATTTATTTTGTCCTTTTCACATTTATATGGTATCTTTTTTTTTTGTAAAGCTGTACTAAAGTACCATATAAATTGAAATAAATATTAATTTAAGTAGTTAATAAATATGTCATTTAATAAATATATAATAAACACGTACTCTAGGCCTATAATAAATAAAATTACTGTTTTTATCTAAGACGAACTCCACAAATAGTTTGGTGCTTTGCACCACTAAAACAATACATAAAGTGTTTCATTGATGCCACATAAATAAAACTAAATCTGGTCCAGTTTTATCTCTGAATAAAAAAGAATCTGGTTTCATGAATAGTAATGAAGGTTTAATTAAGAATCAAGTCTTTATATTGATTCTGTGCTATGAAGAGACATGAACAGACTGCAGTGATGCTTTGATTATTCACTAAGAGCTACTCAGCATGACATCATCTAAAGAAGAGGAAACCCCCCCCCAGCATGCCTCACGCACACACACACACACACTCACATACACACTCTCTCTCTCTCTCACACACACACACACACACACACTCTCTCTCTCTCTCTCTCACACACACACACACTCTCTCTCTCTCACACACACACACACTCTCTCTCTCTCTCTCACAAACACACTCACTCACACACATATATATAAGTTTAAAATATTATATAAAAAGACAATATATATATATATATGATTAGATTCGAACTACTGATTATACTTTTTAATAACAATATTAAATTTTAACTTTTTAATACATTACTGAAATGTGTTCTCGAGTTCGTGAGTGGATCAGAAGTAACGTTAACTTAAGCATCATTTAAAATAAACACGCACGCGCGCACGCACGCATTTCCGTTAGTTCAGTTTCTCCCGTTCAAACTGGACTAGAAAGTCGCGAAGCCGCCAAAAAAACGGCAAAATAACACACAATGACGGTTAATATTGTATTTTGTACGATCATTAACCGCTGTCTTACTTTTTCCTTGCGTCTTTTGGTCTTTCTGAGCGAGGTGCGCGCGGTGTAGAACAGCTCGAGCTCGGGCTCGGAGTCGCTCTCGCTGCAGTATCCGCTGCTCGCGCTGCTGCCCCACGTCATGTCCAACCGCTCGCAGTCCGTCATTATTATCACCGGTTACCGAAACCGAGAACTTCCGCTGTGTCTGAGGAGGATGATGTGGCTGTCTGTGTCTGACCGACCTCGTGCAACCGGGACGCAACCGTCAGGCGTGATTCCAAACCCCACCCTTCCGCTGAGCTCCGCCCCTCGCACACAGGCTCCTCCCCCAATCCAGTCCTGCCCCTCCCCCTGAAACCCCGCAGAACAATGGAAGATAGATTGCCGTTTAAAACATGTATAAAATACCGTTTCTAAATATTTTCTAACCAATAAAAATATAATTACACCTACATATAATTATATAACTATTATAAAAAATTACGTACATTAATATGTAATTTGTAATATATTAAAAATATATAATATATTTTAAATAGTGTTTATAATAGTAAATAATATGAATATATTTTAAATAATAATAATTATTATTATTATTATTGTTGTTGTTGTTGTTATTATATCCAATATTAGCAATTTGCTAATCTGCATAAAATTCTATAATAATTTTCAAAAGCTACATATAGTAACATGTAATGTTTCTAACATTTATTTTAAATAGTACATTTGTAATAGTTAATAATAGTATAAATGTACTTTAAATACATAAACACTATCAATCATATAAAATGTATATTAGTAAAAATAATAATAATAAAATCAATAATTATCTACAATATTACCAATTCACATGCAAACACTCAGTACGACAAAAAAGCCATGCAACAAACAATATCGCTACAGTGGGCAAATAAAAATAATATTACATCTACATATAATTTACTGTACCATACTGGTAAAAAAAAAATGTATAGCCTGAATGCACTGTAAGTCGCTTTGGATAAAAGTGTCTTCTAAATGCATAAAAGTAAATGTAAATATAGAATTATACATGAATTATAAAAATAATTACAAACAATAATATTTGTAATACAAATATATAACATTTATTTTAAATATGTGTGTACCCTTATGTATATAAAAGGTATATTTAATCATAATAATAAATAATAATACTTATATATCAATAATAATAATAATAATAATTATTATTATTATTATATTATAGCCAATATTACCAATGAACAAACATTTGATATGACAGAAAAGCTGTGCAACAAACAAATAAATCACTTAATCACTACTGCTGAAAATTAAAAATATAATTTACATATAATTATAAAATAATGAAATAAACATTACATTTAATTAACATTTACATTAAATAATACACTCATAATAGTAAATAACAGTATAAATGTATTTTACATTATTATGCATATCAAATGTATATAATAATAATAACAATAATAATAATAACAGTAATTATTATTATTATTATTACAGGCATAATTGCTGGGTTTCAGGAGGATATAATACATATATAAATATTTCATATATTCTGTGCCATCTGCATAAAATGTGCTGCTGGAAAAAGTCTTGTGAGTATTTAAAAGGATTTGAAGTATAAGAAAGACCATCACGCAAATGTTGCCAAATGAGATTTTAAGATGATTTTCCACATTTGTAATGAGATAAGAGCTCCATTGTGAAGCACCACTGATTTGAGCTGATTAGTTCATTCACCCAGCTGTCAGACCTCCACCCTCCCCCGTATCACTCTCACACCATTACTGAACACACACTCACTCACACTGAAAATCAGTGGCAGAGCCCTCCTTCACTGTGACTATAACCTTACATTATTATGTAAACAATAGCTAATTATAAACCAAATATCCCATGCAACTTTAAATATATAGACATGGTTAATAAATTCCACATTTTCAGAAAACGTAAAAAAATAAAGCAATCTAAGAAGTCGGGATAGTTGATGTATTTACATTTCAAATGCTAAAATGTAAGCAGCTGCTCCTCTGCGGCGCTGTCGTAAATTGTGCGCGTCACGGCGTGTGCAGAACGGTAATAAACCCGAGCTAATGGCATATGGTGCATTGATCGTCTAGCGACAGATGACAGGGTGGAACAATTTAATTATGTTTAAATGTAACGCCTGCGCACGTCTCTGATTTACATTTGCTAGTAAACTCTCCTCTCTAGTACTGTTAGTAGCTCACTCACCACATTAGTGTCCGTCTCGATCGTGTCCTCGCAGTAGTTTAGCTGTTTGCTGACGGCGTCGCAGTTCAAGCTGCAGTCCAGTTGAATGAAGGGTTGACAGCGGTAGTGACAAGTGTAATTACAGTCTAAAAAACACAAATGTTCATTCACAAACGGAAACAACAAATACTTTGAAATTAAGCTGTTTTGAAGAATATGGGTAAAGAAAATGCTGACGGTAGCCATTGACTTCTATAGTGTGGAAAATAATACTATGGAAACCAATGGCTACCGTCAGCTGTTTGGTTGCCAACATTTTTCAAAATATCTTCTTTTGTGTTCAACAGAAGAAAGAAACTCATACTGGTTTGAAACGTGAGGATTGAGTAAATGATGACAGAATATTATTTTTTGGGTGACTGTCCCTTTAAATACAGTTCTCCATTCACAGAGCTACAGTTTAAGAGATCAAATGTCTGTTTTTGGTGGCACAAACTGAACCTTTGACAGAGAGGTCAAGCGTTTCCAGTCCAGAACGGTCTGTGAATATACAGCGCTACCTGCTGGTCATGCTGATGTATATTCTGGGTTACTTGATGAATAAATCATTCATCTGTGGTCTGGTTTTGACTGACCCATTTTTCTCAAGGCCTTACAAAGTGTAAAAACAATGCTGTTTATGATCGTTTTAATATTTGATCACCTATTACGAAGAAAGAGAAAAACAGAGAAAACTATATTTGTACCTTTTCTGATGAAAATTATTTATGCATTTATTTATTTTCTCTTTACTATTTTTGTTCTTTATTTGCTATATTGTTTCTGTTCTGTTATTTGTTTATGCAGTTTTTTTTACTTGAAATACATTTGAAGTCAGTTATCTGCATGCCATTCATTTATTTATTAATTTTTCATAATGAAACAATTCAATTAAACACACAATTCAGGTATTAAAGTATTTTATTAATTATTTACTATGCATTTATTTTAGTGCTGTCAAATAATTAATCGCATCCAAAATAAGCTTTTTTTCTATAATATGTGTGTGTACTGTGTATATTTATTATGTATATAAGACACACACATACAGTATATATTTTGAAAATATTTACATGTATATATTTATATTCATATAATTTAGATTATATAAATATATTTAATATATAAACATAACATATTTTTCTTAAATATATTCTGTATGTGTGTGTATTTATATATACATAATAAATATACACAGTACACACACACATATTATGTACACAAAAACTTTTATTTTGGATGCGATTAATCGCGATTGATCATTGCCCAGCACTAATTTATTTATAGATTTACATTTATGTTTTAATTCATGCATTAGTATTAATACATAATAAAACTAAAATTAACTGCATGTATTTTAACATCTAATCTGTATAAGGTAATTTAATAAAATTTTTGTATTTATGCATTTAAAGTATTTATATGCTTATGCGGAGTATTTATTTGCTATGTATTGTGACTTACTGACCATAAATAAACTGATGACATTATTGATTGATTTGCTGTTTACTTTCCTCTTAAATTTCTTAATCAGATCACAGAGACAGAACAACAACACCCGGACTCTGTTTTAATCATTCTCGGGGACTTTAATAAAGCCAATCTCTCCCGTGAACTGCCAAAATACAGACAGCACATCACATGTCCCACCAGAGACAGTAATATATTGGATCACTGTTACACTACAATAAAGAATGCATATCGCTCCGTCCCATGGGCAGTTTTGGGGCTCTCTGATCACTGTTTAGTTCATCTAATACAGACCTACAGGCAGAAACTGAAATCAGCTAAACCTGTATTAAGGACTGTAAAAAGATGGACTAATGAAGCAGAGCAGGATTTACAAGCTTGTTTTGACCTCACTGATTGGAGTGATTTTGAAGCTGCTGCCACCGATCTGGACGAGCTCACAGAGACCGTAACATCTTATATCAGTTTCTGTGAAGACATGTGCATTCCTACCAGGACTCACTTAACTTACAACAATGACAAACCATGGTTCACTGCAAAACTCAGAAAGCTCCGTCAGGCCAAAGAAGATACTCACAGGAAGGGGGATAATGTCTTGTATAAACAGGCTAAATACACACTGGAAAAGGAGATCAGAGTGGCAAAGAGGAATTATTCTGGAAAAATAAGGACTCAGTTCACTTCCAGCGACTCGGCATCAGTGTGGAAAAGTCTAAAAGAAATCACCAACTACAAGACACCATCCCCCAACACTGTGGAGAATCAACACCTGGCAGACGATCTGAACGAGTTCTACTGCAGGTTTGAAAAAACACCCCACACCCGCCCTGAACACCTCTCCACACAACCATTCACACCTCCAGCAACCCCCCTCTCCCCCACACCTGCAATTCAGATCAGCGAAGAAGAGGAGCGCCAGGTCTTCCGGAAGCAGAAAAGGAGAAAAGCACCAGGCCCAGACTGTGTTACACCAGTCTGTCTGAAATCCTGTGCTGACCAGCTGGCCCCCATCTTCACACAGATCTTCAACAGATCACTGGAGCTGTGCGAAGTCCCTTCATGCTTCAAACGCTCCACCATCATCCCCGTCCCAAAGAAACCCAAAATTACTGGACTTAATGACTACAGACCTGTGGCTCTAACGTCTGTGGTCATGAAGTCTTTTGAAAGACTGGTGCTGGCCCACCTGAAGGACATCACTGGACCCTTGCTGGATCCTCTTCAGTTTGCCTACAGAGCAAACAGGTCTGTGGACGATGCAGTAAACATGGGACTGCATTATGTTCTGCAACATCTAGACAGACCAGGGACTTATGTGAGGATCCTGTTTCATCCCAAACCTCCTCCTGCCCAAACTAACTCACTCTCCGTGCCCACCTCCGTCTGTAAGTGGATCACCAGCTTCCTGACAGGCAGGCAGCAGCTAGTGAGGCTGGGAAAATACACATCCAGCACCCGTACGATCAGCACTGGAGCTCCTCAGGGTTGTGTTCTCTCTCCACTGCTCTTCTCCCTGTACACCAACGACTGCACATCTAAAGACCCCTCTGTCAAGCTCCTGAAGTTTGCAGACGACACCACACTCATCGGCCTCATTCAGGACGGTGACGAGTCTGCTTACAGACAGGAGGTCGAGCAGCTGGCTGTCTGGTGCAGTCTCAACAACCTGGAGCTCAACACGCTCAAAACTGTGGAGATGACCGTGGACTTCAGGAGAAACCTCCCTGCACTCCCCCCACTCACCATCTTGGACAGCACTGTGACTGCAGTGGAGTCATTCAGGTTCTTGGGCACCACAATCTCTCAGGACCTGAGTGGGACACTCACATTGACTCCATTGTGAAAAAGGCCCAGCAGAGGTTGTATTTCCTTCGCCAGCTGAGGAAGTTCAACCTGCCACAGGAGCTGCTGAAACAGTTCTAATCCACCATCATTGAATCTGTCCTCTGCACTTCTATAACTGTCTGGTTCAGCTCAGCTATAAAAATCTGACCTCAGAAGACTACAGAGGGTAGTCCTGACTGCTGAGCAAATCATTGGTACAACCCTCCCTTCTCTCCAAGATCTGTACTCATCCAGAGTGAGCAAAAGGGCTGGCAAAATCACTCTGGACCCCTCACATCCAGCACACTCCCTCTTTGAACTGTTGCCATCTGGTCGACGCTACAGAGCACTGAGCACCAGAACGACCAGACACAGGAACAGTTTCTTCCCTCAGGCAATCCATCTCATGAACACTTAACAATAACTGTGAAACACACACTATTTATTCACTCATATACTTATTTATCGAACACTCATACACTCATAGTCTACACCTCAAATTTGCACATAATATACCTGTACATACAAAACTGTCTATTGTAATATACCTGCACATACAATTGTCAATTTATATATTTTTATTCCTTATTTACTTGTTCTATTTTTATTTTTATTATCTGTGTTTTTTGTTATGTCACTGTCATTCTGTTACACTGTGGAAGCTTCTGTCACGAAAACAAATTCCTCGTATGTGTAAACATACCTGGCAATAAAGCTCATTCTGATTCTGATTAACCACGTCTTTACAACACACACCCACACGATCTCTGTCCAACATAAGACGTTTTCTAAACTGTCCGTTTCCCTGTCTAAACATCCTTTTCCTATTGGCTTATGCTCTCTGAGGGCCAGATTGTCTTGACAGCAGCAGAAGACAGATATGGCAGTGGAAATGGTCTCGATTATCTCCTAATGACTCACGTGTGCAGCGGAGGCTCTGGTGGTACAGGCCCCAGATGAACTCTCCGCAGAGGTCGCACCAGCTCAGCTGCGTCTGTCTGCAGGGCTGGAATTCATGTCCCCATCCCGGTTTACACGTCAGCCAGTCGGGGTCCTCCAGACGCACGCGCTCCCCCACCATCCGCACCACCTTCTCTTTGCTCCACCTTTCTAGAGTGGGCCCATCGCGGGCCGGAGGGCCGCTAGGGGGTGCTAACTCGATGCGGTCATCTGGAGTCAAGTCCTGCAGTTCAATAAGCTCACATTTTGCCATATTGGGAACACAGGAGGCTGCAAAGCATGGCTCAGTAGGTCATGGGAGATGATTTATAACTTCAGACCACATCAGAGCGATCCTGTTTACGCCAAACCAGGCCCACAGACTTCGGGTCTGGCTCTGATGTGTTTGCATATCCAGGCTTAGAACAAACATGGATCACTCATGTCGATCCTACAGTCTTAATATAAAAGAGATGATGATTTTTTGATGAGTTTTCAGAACGATGTCAGTTCTCAAATCAGTTTTCATCTGGCTCAATCTGAGGAAAAACAACAGAGATTAGATTATGCTCTATATTGTGGTTCTGTATGATTACAGCAAATGTGGACAGTTATAATCTCCCTGATCTTCAGAGGGCTCCATTAGAATTAAATGTTTAGTCTGTCTCCTTTAAACATCAGACAGCAAGTCTACAAATGGGAATAAATGTGGATTTAACATTCCAGTGGGTTTGTGCAAACGAACCTGTCCTTTACAAAACCACTTGACAACATCTATCTGGAGGCTGATCAGTATGCGTGAGGAGGGATATTGCACTCAAGGGTGTTTTGGACCATTTTTGTTGTAGGGCACCTCTTTTGGCTACTGTCCTAATCCAGAGAACGGGCCTGAACAACCAACCATGAACAGAAAGAGGCATAAAACTGGGTCACAAAAGCATAGCAAATAAATAAGTCATAAAATAGACAAATATAGCGAAGACTAGATAAGAACAGAATAGAATACCGGATAAAGATTAGATCTGAAAGCATGTGCAACTGGCAAATTACTTGGGAAATAATGCAGATAATTATCTTAAAGAATAAGCAAATAAATAAATGCACCAATAAATGCGTGACTACTTACATAAATGTTTAAATCTATAAATACATGCTTAAAAATAATAATTAAATTAATAAATACATTTTAAATTTAATTCATGTAATTAAAATGAATAAATGAGTTAATAGAATACAGATTAGGTACTAAAATGTGACTTCAAGTGCATTTACTGCATAAATAAAACTAATTCATACATAATAAATGCATAAACAAATCAAGAGAATAGAATACAATATAGGAAATAAATCAACAGGATAAGAAAATAAATCAAAGCATATACACATACATACTAGAAATCTATCAATACAACAACCAGATAAAAACGAATGTGAAAATGTGTAGTAGCTATTAATTGCAGACAAATAACACCCAGGAAAAACAAACAAATCAACAAATGTAAGGAAATAATCTCTAACAGATTAGATTAGCAATTTGACGTCATTGAGAAAAAGCCTACAAACTTCGGAAAGCACGTCTATAATTTGTCAGTTAAAGTCAGATTACAGTTTCACTCGTATTTGGACCTCTTGTAGTAACTGTTTAAGAAGACAAACCTACCTTAAACCAAAGCAAGTGACTTTTAACGCTCAGATTGACAGTAAACGCGTCTCAAATCAAGCGTAATCTGCGCGCGCGACGCGTGTTTGAGAGCAGATCACGCAAATGATTGCGCAAAACTGAGACAACGTCTTCCGTTACGCTCAAGGCTGAAGTGAAAATGGTCCTCCACCGGCAGCGAGATGTTTCCTCAGATGTTTTCTCGTGATTCGCAGCTGTTAGTTTCTCCTCTGAACGCGCACCTTGTCCGACGCGACCGCTAGTGTGCGTTTCTGCGCATGCGCCGTAGACTCAGATTAACGCTTAATCCGGCGCGATCCGTCCTAGTTTGAGCGGACATCGTTTCCTGAAACATTTGGTGGACCCTCGGGTCTTATAACGCGAACCCCCGCCTGTGGCAAGGCTGTGGGTCTATTTACACTGACCTTGTTTAAAATTAAACTCGTTCTTAAAGGGACAGAGCAGCTAAAAAAATGATTCACTCTCACATCATTCTTTCCTCTGAGGAACAAAAACAAGATTCTATAACGCAGCACTTTCCCATAAAAGCGCTCCAAACAACTTGTATGCTATGTATATTAAGTCACACGGTAGGTTTGTGCACGGAACAGACTAAAGTTTACGTCGTTTTTGACAAATCTTCCGACTTTTGCTACAGAATTATGCATACGTGTTGGATATGACCTTAAGAAACCGAAAAATGGCAAATTAGACGATCAGTTCCCATTTTCCCATGTGAAACTTTCTGTGCAGTGACTGTATCGAAATCTAGTGCACTTGATGTAGTTGGCAGACGTCCGTAGGCTTGATCGCATTCTCTCTGATAGAGGATGTCTTCTATCATCAGGAAGGGAGGTTTGGAGACCCACAGGACGAGATAAGGAGGTTTCTGTCCTCCGGTCAGTCTGGATGAAGGCCAGCGGGTCACAGGACACAGGTCTCCAGTCATCTCATGACATTTCACTGAACAAACTCTGCTGATATGTGACTGTTACTATATTAGGGGCCAATATGCAATATTCTGATACAGAACAATGTCCAGTATGCAGTTATTCAATCTTTTAATCAAGAATATAAACTGTTTCGTTAGTATATGCATGGGTCAATGCCAAAGATGCATACTCATAAAATAGATTTGTTTCACACTGAAATTGTGAATGAATGACCCTAAAATAAAAGTGGTGTAACCATCAAGTAAACTAGTATGAAGTACTTGAGTACGCACAACATTATTACTTTTCAAATTTTCATTATTAAGTTTTCAAGGAAGGTAAAAATGCAACCGAACCCTGTATTTATTGACTGAAAATCAATACAATTAAAATAAAACATAATATAAAATAAACATAATAAATAAATCTAAATAGAAAGTACACAAAAACATACTTTTAAAGGTAAAAACATTACTGACCCCCAGTATTTATAAACAGGAAATTAAAAAAACAACGTAAAATACAAAATATTTCATCTAAAAATAAATACAAACACAAACAAGAAGGTTTATAATTGATTTATAATGAATCAATCAATATGCCTAAATAAACAAACGTATTTTCTCAAAATACAATTGCATATTGCACAGTTATATTGTATTTGATTAATAATTTTAAAAAATGGTCTAAGTTCGGGTAAAATCTACACTGACACAAATAACAGTGAACTGTGCAGGATTTAATCATTTGCAGAATCTGGAAGAAAGAAAAGTCCAGTGTGATCCGTGCAGGTCAAACCATGGAAAGACATGCATGTAAACATCAAATCCCACCTCAGCACCAGCAAAGACATTTCTAGAACAGAGGCAAACTGGAAGAAATGATTACTGTTTTTTACTATATATCAAATTCTTGAATCATGTGTTTAGACTTATTTAAATGTCTTTTAAATATCCTATAAATTATATAGGCCTACACTGTTAAAAATGTATTGTAATTTTACAGGAATTTCCTGGCAACTAATTGCCGTGAATTGTGCCGTTAAATAACAGTAATTTACTGACATCAATTTACAGTTAATTTACAGCTCTTCATTTTTACAGTATGATACTGTATTACTACCGTGGAAATTAACTCTGCTCCAATTGCTTCAAACAGTCCGAGTTGAAAATACTAGTATTCATACGGTGTCAGTAATGTGAACTTATTTCATTCGAGTCCATTAAGAAGAGATATTTCATAGTATAAAACTACAAACACTTTAAATAACTACAAACATGTCTTTAACTCAAATCATTGCAGTTCATCATCAGCTATAGCACACATGTATGTGTTGAAGCACTTAACAAAAAGATCATCGCTGCTTAGGCAACTGCACAGTTACTGTCTTTAAATAAAGCTTTAAATAAATGCAGGCTCTACTCTCCTGACTCACAAAACTACATTAAACTACCAGGTCTCTCTTGAGCAAAAACACATCGATACAGTTCAGTTCAATATTTACTCTTCTTATCAGTTCATGACTTTGCATAACTGTTTTCTGTGGACCTTCACTAAAATTTCAGTAAAAATAACTTTTTTCCCTTTGGTTAATCTGACTGTTAAGTTTTACAGTAAATTGCTGTTATTTCCTTTTCTGCAGAAGGCTACTTTCTCGAAAACAACAAATTTTACCCAGAATGCATTGTTTGTTTTACTGTTGTAATGAAAAAACAGGATGTTACTGTCAGAATATGGCCGTTTTTTACAGTAATTTTTTACAGTGTACATATAAATAAAAAATGTTTGTATGCACAAAAGACTAATGACATCATAAGTGCAAGAAATGCATAAACACGAGCATGTAATAATACATTACAAAAAGTAAATATATATTTTGCAATATAATTAAAAAGTACTGATATGATGAATTTAAAAATGGCCTAGCGACGCCCATGCGCACAAACCCTACAGGACCCAGTGCCCCCCTTCCTCAAATATTATGGAAGTAAAAAAAAACACATAGTATAGGAGTCAAAATAGAACTTTAATCAAATATAAAAGTAAATAAATTGTACTACAATTGTAGCTCTAGCCAGCTACCTATGGCTATGATTTTATTAATACAGTTGTCTGATTGATTTTATAGTCTAAAGCATTCAGAAATCACGCAAAAGAAAATGAAGCAGTTTTACTACGATAAAACCATGGTTTATTTTTGTAAGGGTTGCGATGTCCGTATGTTTTTTGTTGAAGAAATTATAGAGGCTGTGTCATCTATAGCAAAAAGCTGGCCAAAAATGTAAGATTAAGTGAATATTTGAATTAAACGTTTGGCCAGTACCCTAAACAAGGGTTTGATTGTCCTGTAAGTGTAGCAGCAGCAATTACAAAGCCTTTGGCTCCCTTTGCAGGCATTTGTAATAACATCTAATGCACATAAATTGTATATTTTGTATTACATTATGTATTTTAACAGTGTTATTAACCAATCATTATTGCCTCATTGTTTTTATATAACGCATTTTAAGTAATTTTAAAGGTTGTTGTCTTAGGTCTGTTTTTATAACCACAAAAATTTTTATCTTAATACTTCTTTGTAAATGATTATTTGAAGTAACAAAACCGTGGTTAACTTGCGTATTTTTGGTGTTATTGGTGTTAAAACCATGGCTAATTTTCGTAAAGGAACGTGGAAACTCAGAGAGAATATTAGATGCGTTGGTGATGGTGAACTTATTTCCGACATTAAAACGTTATTAACGTCAACAGCAAAAAAAAAACACAGGATTATGAATGTGCCTGAAAGTGATGCACAGGGTTTTTTTTCTTTTCTCTGCGCCGGATTGCTGATGTCTTTTCACGGGCATAGATGTCCATCCATCAATTATGGATGGCACGAGGTGCCAGTGTTCGCCAGCGCAGATGCGGGAATGTTTTTGAGCAACTGGGATGGTGCCCCCCTGGGAGTTGGTGCCCTACGCAAACTGCGTACTCTGCGTATAGGGAGCGGTGGTACTGACTGAAACAGAACTTTATCAGCTGGACCAGAATTGCAAGTTACTGAGCTAGTTTTATTGTTAATTATGTATTTGTCCTTTTGCAACTACTATACTTAAAAACTAAAAAAAAAATATATATTTGTAACGTTTCATATTTTTGAAGCAGATATCTTTGGAAATGACTGAAGGCAACTATTTTTCTTAAATGCGACGATAAAAGATTGTGTTTATTAAATTATTTGTCATTGTTTTGATGTTTTTGCATTTATCAGTGCCAGTCCGCCCTTTTCTGCTCAATTAAACAATTGCAGATCATGAGAGAAAACATTTATGCCAACAAATGTTTCTTAATGATTGTAGTGTTCGTTAAAATGTTGCACAAAATCTTTTTCTGTTGAATTAAACAATCGCAGATCATGAGAGAAAACATTTATGCCTTATGACTGAATGTTTATATTATTAATAATAAATATGGTGACAATATCTTAAGCAACAAATGACAAATCATAATTTTGTTTAAATGTTGCACAAAATGTTTTTCCTGTTTAATTAAACAATTGTAGATCATTACGAAAACTTCTACCTGAAAACTTACATATTATTATTATACATAACTTAAAATATAATATTAATAAAATATTAAAATTGTAAGGAGCAAATATTTGTAAATGGCAGAGATATATATATTTTTTTAATGTAGACCATTTTTCCTGTTGGGAAAACCATTTTCTTTACTTGAAAATATAAATTTTATTCAAATTATTAAAATATATTTATATATTCAATTGTAAGCGACAAGTATTTAACCTTTTTGTTCAAATGTACAAAATCTTTATTTTCTGTGCTATAACAGATCACGTTGATAATGCCTATTGTATGAATAAATTATATAATATATATAGCTTGTGCACTTAATTAAAATTCTTTGCAATTCACACATTGTTTTAGCTGCATAAAGTGCATGATGTTAATATTTATATTATATTAAGATTTACTAACTTTATAAAAAGAAAAAATATATATATACAGTGGGGCAAAAAAGTATTTAGTCAGCCACCAATTGTGCAAGTTCTCCCACTTAAAAAGATGAGAGAGGCCTGTAATTTTCATCATACCAGTTATTCTAAATACAGGAGGAGTCAAGTTTATTTATGTTAAAACAATATTTAATAAATACAATGTCATTTGAATGTACTCCTCTCCATGCTGGGAGCATGAGATGACGTGTGGACACCTCCCGGGACAGCGCCTGTATGAGATCATGTGTGTTTGCGGGTCCCGACTGCTGAATCGCTCACAGATCGTGGTCTTGAACTCACCTATGGGGGAAAAAAAATCCTGCGTCTCTCGGATAGAGGGATTTTTTTCCTTAAAAAAAAAGGTTCAAAACGTATAAAAATAAAAAAAAGAATGAAAATGAATTACTCTTCAGCATTA